ACATCATCGCCCGGGGAGGTCGTTTGACAACAAAATTGCCTAACAACCTCCACCTTGGTGTCAAAGGACCTGAAAAGAAAATTGTTTCCCATTAGTGACACCTCTAATAAAAACAATAAAATTGGAAATCATTTACCTGTACCAATGTTTCGAAGTTCCTTGCAACTCCTAAACTTTGCCAGTGGCAGTACCTTCGTCCCCATATCAGATGGGTTATAGTGGGTATGAACTTTCTCAAGTCTTACCACCTCTTGAGATACTATATCTCTAATGAAGTGGAGTCTTATGTTAATGTGTTTAGTGCGCTCGTGAAAAACAGGGTTTTTGCATAAATGTATGGATGACTGACTATCGGAATACACTACCACATAATCATTCAGAACACATAATTCATGAAGTAGACCTCTAAGCCATAGAGCTTCTTTAATAGCTTCAGTGGTGGCAATATATTCTGATTCTGTAGTGGATAATGCAACAATATGTTGTAACTGTGATTTCCAACTTACACATGAATTAGATAAGGTAAACACGTAAGATGAAGAAGATTTCCTACCGTCCCTATCACCCGCATAGTCAGCATCTACAAAACCTTTTAATTTTATGCCTTCTCTATTAGCACTAAACTTTAAGCCTACGTTACTAGTACCCTTCAAGTACTTTAACAGCCACTTTAGCGCTTCCCAATGTTCAGGTCCCGGATTAGCCATATATCTACTGAGAGTACTAACAGCAAAACCTAAATCAGGTCTAGTGCAAACCATCAAGTACATTATGGAACCAATCACATTTGAGTAAGGTACTCTACTCATGTATTCAACTTCATGTTGAAAGTACAGGCAGTGATCAAATTTACTTCTTTGAAACCCTATAGTGAGTACAAAGGAATCAAACCTCTTGTACCACTGTCTAGGAGATTGTTTTAACCCATACAAGGATCTCCTCAAAAAACACACATAATCAGGTTTTGACTTATCCTTAAAGCCTTTAGGTTGATTCAAGAAAATTTGTTCATCAAGCTCACTATGTAAGAAAGCAGTTTTTACGTCAAGTTGTTCAAGTTCCCAGTCAAATTGTGCAACCAATGCAAGCATGACCCTAATAGTGGTGAACTTAACAACTGGTGAGAAAATTTCATTATAATCAACGCCCTCCTTCTGTGTGTAGCCTTTAGCCACTAACCTAGCTTTAAACCTTAGGGGTTCCAAACTGCTAGTTCCTTCCTTAACCTTAAAAACCCATTTGCAATCAACAATTGATTTGTTCTTAGGCCTAGGTACTAGCTCCCAAGTATGATTCTTTTCCAGAGAACTCATCTCTTCTTTCATTGCCTTAAGCCATTCATTAGATTGATCACTGCCTATTGCTTCTTCAAAAGTCTTTGGCTCTTTTTCAGCTAGTTCCTCATACCTAGACTGGGCAAAAGCTAATTCAGATTCAAAACCAAACCTTCTAGGTTCCCTCGACTGTCTCCTCTCTCTATCTCTAACTAAGTTATAGTTAGCTAAGGGGTTCTCTTCCTCATAGTGTTCTTCTGTCACTATTTCATTACTATTTTCAACTTCGGGTTCCTGAGTTTAAGTCTCCACCTCATTTGAGACAGTTGGGGCAGGTGGACTGAGTTTTCCTAACTCCACCTTAAATTGATCTCTCTCTTCACCCGATTCTACTTCACTTTCGGGTTCAGTTTTCCCTTTAATACACGGCATTTCTTTTTCGTTAAACGTGACATCTCTACTTATGATGATCTTAACTCCGTTTTGGCTTCTATCCCATAATCTATAACCCTTAACACCTTCGGGGTATCCTAAGAAAACACACTTCCTAGCTCTAGGTTCCAACTTACCCTCACTTTGATGAGAAAAAGCTGTACAGCCAAATGTTCTAAGTATCGAGTAATCACTCAGTTTACCAGACCATCTCTCATGTGGAGTATCACCATTCAATGCAGCAGAGGGTGTAAGATTAATCAAATAGCAAGCTGTCATAACAGCCTCACCCCAAAATGACTTGGGAACACCCGAACTGATCATCATGCAACGTACTTTATCAAGTATGGTTCTATTCATCCTTTCTGCTACCCCATTTTGCTGAGGGGTGTAGGGAACAGTCTTATGTCTAGTTATGCCGCTTTCTTTACACATACTATCAAATTCTTTATTGCAGAATTCTAGGCCATTATCAGTCCTTAAAAATTTGATTTTCTTGCCAGTCTGGTTCTCCACTTGTCTCTTCCAATTATTAAAACTATTGAAAGTATCAGATTTATCCTTCAAAAGATAGACCCACACTTTCCTAGTGTAGTCATCAATAATAGACAGAAAATACCTATTACCACCCGATGTGGGGTTACTGGCAGGGCCCCAAAGGTCAGAGTGCACATATTCGAGCATGCCTTTAGCTCTACTAACACTCATGGAGAAAGAAGTTTTGTGATGCTTACCAAGCACACAATGATCACAAAATGGCAACACTGACACACATTCATTACCAAAAGCACCCTTTTCATTAAGTAGCTTAAGTCCCTTGACTCCTACGTGAGCAAGCCTATTGTGCCATGTGTGTGTGTGATCAATCTTGACAGAGGAGATAGAGGAATTCATATCTCTAATCACTTCCCCAGTAGTAATGTATATATCGTTTTTCTTAATTCCCTTAATGGAAACTAAAGCACCCTTGATCATTTTTAGCATACCATTTCCAATTTTACCAGTAAAGTCATCCTTCTCAAGTCTCCCTACTGAAATCAAATTCCTAGACAATTCAGGAATATATCTAACATCCTTTAACGTATACACAAAACCCGTGTCAAATTTTACGTTTATGTCACCAATTCCAGCGATAGTATAGGCAAAGTTATCACACAGCACAACATGCCCAACTTTAGATTCATGCAACTTACAAAACCAGTTCTTTTCAGACGTCACATGAAAAGATGCACCAGAATCAAGTATCCACTCGTGAATGCGGGAATTAGCAGTTAGATTTAATTCAGCAGTATATGCAGCTGGACTTGTAATCATATAGACCTCACCACCACTTATATCAGAAGTGGATGCTAACACATTTACCTCATCTCTCTCCTTAGCTTTTAGCTTACCCTTCTCCTTATGACAATCCTTTATAAAGTACCCTGTGTTTCCACAACCATAGCATTTTCTCGCCTTAGTTTTAGATTTTGATCTGGACCTACCTTTGCCCTTCTTTTTCCATCCATTACCACTTGACTCGCCACTAGTTTGATATCCCTCATGACTATTTTGCCTAAATTGAGTTCTACCCCGCATCATATGTACTTCACCATTCCTTTTATCATGTTTTTCAGCCTTAATTTCCATTTCTTTACTTCTAAGAGAATCTATGGTAGGGACGGTAGGAAATCTATGACAATTTCAGGTGTTAACGTGTCTCTGCCATACTTAATGGCATTCTTAACTTCCTTATAGGAATCAGGGATTACATTTAGCAAAATTATAGCCTTATAAGTTTCGGACACAGTCTCATCACAATTAACTATGTCTTGCACCAGTTTGTTAAACACGTCTAGATTGTCATCCAGATCCTTTGAAGAATCCATTTTGAAACTGAAAAAGCGTTCAAGCAGGTAAAGCTTATTTAGGTGTAGATTTAAGCAAATACAAGTCTTCTAATTTCTTCCAAAGTTCTTTGGTGTTTTTTAATTTACCCACCTTTCTTAAAACAGCGTCAGACAAGTGTAAAATAATTGAGGTATAAGCAAGCTCATCGGCTTCTTCTTTTTGTTCTTGTGAAAAATCAGTTGAAAAATTGCCTTCAATGGCTTTTGAAACTTTTTGTTGGACTAAAATACCCTTCATTTTTTGTTGCCAAATAGCATAATCACCCTTTCCGTTAAAAATTCCCAAATCAAAACTATGAGTTGTCATCTTCACACAATAGCCAAAAATGCACAAACCACAATCAAACCACACAAAGTAGTCCTAGGGGTCACAATAATATACTCCGTTCTAGATTCCCAGGGTTTCGTAAGACTTGCGGTCTTAGATCAAGGGAATGTTCGAAAGGGTAAAGTCACGGTATTTCTAACGGAATAAGTAAGCAGCGAAAATAACAATGCAGCAAAAAATACGTCTAGCAGATAACTAGTCCCACAATAATTTTGATCACCAAGAATTACAAAACTGATTTTAAACCCCAAAAGCAAATACTCAATCAAAAGGATCAATTAAGAGCACATAACCCTAATTCTAGCACAAGCAATGGTTGCCAAGCAATGACAACCCCCAACCTATTGTCACCCCACACGGTGACGCGCTAATGCTGAAAAATTAACGGGTTAAGCCAATTTACCAGAGCGGACGTGTCTGAGTCCGTATTATCGAGAGAGATGCGAATCTACTGCTTTAGGACCGCAATTTTGGCCTAAAGTAATTCAGTAAATATATGCAGATTCAACCGTCGATCCACCGGGGGCAAAATTGTCCAACTTTTTCTGTATAACCTGAAACAGAAAATAAACAGTGTCAGTGCGTTCAGGGGAATAAAATAAGCAAACTGCCCGAAGGAAGCTCGCTCGAAACCGCCGCCACGCGCCGCCGCCGGTTGCCGCAGCCGAGGGAGCGCCTCAGCCTGCTGAACCTGGATATGGGTTCGGTTTCGTCGGAAAGTGGCTGGATTGGCTGGAAATCAAGGTTGCAGCCGCGGTTCCTCAATCCCAAAACGCGATTTGTCGCCGGTTTTTGACAAATTTCAGGCCGGGAAAGCTTCAACTAGCTCTGATACCACCTGTAGGACCTAATTCCACAGCCAAGCAGTGCAAAACCGGGCTCAGTTTACCAAAAACATCGACACCATTCCTTGAGACGACTCCAATACCACCTTGTGCCACCACGGTCCGGTTGCTATGGATATGGGAAGAAGAAGGCCAAGAAAATACCCACAATATATCAACCACAAAGGTCACAGAGAGGGAGGGACGAAACGGCCGAGAGAGAGAGGCTCACAAAGAGGGTTTTTCACTCTAAATGGAGGCCGAGAGGTTGAGAGGAATATATGCCAAGAGTATTGTCCAAACATGGTAAGTTACAATTAGGGCTAAGTGGTGGATCAAAGGCTCGACTCAAATAATTGGGCCTCAACAATAATAACATAGCCTTCCAAGGAATGGTGCGAGAACCGTGAGCAACACTATAAAATAGGTTACTTCGAACGGTCCATAACAAAATGGATTGTGTCGTCTCGTTAATTGTGTCGATGTGCTAATCAATCATTAGGTCGAGGCCGATTGATAATAAACAACCGAGGTTACATCATCGCCCGGGGAGGTCGTTTGACAACAAAATTGCCTAACAATACCCTTTGCTGAAATTTTGTGCCCTAGTACGATACCTTCTTGCACCATAAAGTGACATTTCTCCCAATTCAACACCAAGTTGGTCTCCGTATACCGTTGTAGCACAAGACTTAAATGCTCCAAGCACTCATCAAATGAAGATCCAAACACAGAGAAGTCATCCATGAATACCTCGATGAATTTCTCAATCATGTCTGAGAAAATAGCCATCATGCAGCGCTGAAAGGCAGCGGGAGCGTTGTATAATCCAAAAGGCATCCTTCTGTATGCAAAGGTGCCATAGGGGCAAGTGAAAGTGGTCTTCTCCTGATCGTCTGGTGCCACTGGAATCTGATTATACCCGGAGTACCCATCTAGGAAACAGTAGTGCGAATGCCCTGCTAATCTCTCCAACGTCTGATCAATGAACGGTAATGGAAAGTGATCCTTTCGAGTAGCTGAGTTAAGCTTACGGTAGTCAATGCACACTCTCCATCCAGTCACTGTCCGTGTAGGAATCAACTCATTTCTCTCATTTTCTATCACTGTGATGAGTTTGTTTCACTCATGGTTTTCGCACAATTTTAGCTTGATTAAATACTAGATTTTATGAGTGTAGAACGTTTTTGATGTGTTTGTTAGTGTTGTTTTGAAGATAAGGAGAAGCAATGAGAAAAGAAATATTAAAGTGGATGAAGAGGCCAAAAACACGGAATTGGGGCAGAAAGATGGCGCTTAGGTGCTACACTTATAGCGCCTAGGTGCTACGAAACGAAGAAAAGATGAAAATTGGACCCGAGAGGCAGCGCCTAGGCGCTACAACCATAGCGTCCAGGTACTGAAGACACAGCGCCCAGGCGCTATAGACAGTGCCTAGGCGCTGTCTTGTAGCGCCTAGGCGCTGCGATTGGAGATTTAGGGCGCATTTTTTGGGCCGTTTTTAAAGCCATAGAAACCCTACTTCAACACAAAAACGTGGAGGCACCTATAAATACATCCTCCTCATACTTTTGAAGGGTTCTGGACATATTGGAGAGAAAAACAACAAGAAGGGAGATTCAAGGGAGAAATTTAAGAAGATTAACACCAAGAATTGAAGATTGGAAGCACT